TATATATATATATATATATATATGCATATGCTTGTTAGTTGTAAGTCCTATCTGGGGTGTGGTGCTCGAATTATTAGGCGCATCGGGATGACCAGGACTCGTATAATAGCCTTAGGTCATATCTTATATATATAGCAACCCATTGCATAAAAATTAAGAACGTACCAATCAATATAGCTATTCAATGGTAGCTACAACCTTTTGTATTTAATGTTTTCATTCATTTGCAACATAACTTACTAATATATGAGAGAATCCGAAAACTAAACGTGTACAAGAAAAATATGCTCGACCATGTCAGATAGTCTAGGGATTTGACAAGTGTGGAAAGATCTAAGAGAGACTTTAATATCCTAGATGATAAAAAACTAACCAAATGAGGATCAACTAGTTGACCTACCCGTAATCCACCTAAGAGTCGGCCAACTCAAGAGACAACCGACATGGCCGACCGATCGACTCAGAGTAGAGTACATAAAGTCTAAGCAACTCTCAAATGTCAAACGACAAACCTGGCCAAAGGCCGACTAAAGGAAGGTCGATTGACCATAAAAATATTAAGGGCATACTTATAATTTAACTATTATTCTGGTTTCCTATAACAGAGGAATGATAAATATACTAAAGGATAGTTAAAATTTAAGACCATAATACTTAATTCCTAAATATGTCTCTCTCCAATCTTAATCGGGTCCAAAAGGATTTAATCAATGATCTTAATTTCTGTTAGAGAATATAAAAAATGGATAAGATAATCTGTAAAATGAGAGGATTCGACCCCTTGACCTGAGGGGACGTATACTGAAGAATAGGTCGAGGACGTGATATATATATATATATATATATATATATGAAACCCGGCCGAAAATCAGTTAGTTATCGCGAAGGAACCCCGCAACAGTTATGCGAATCTCCCGTCATTTACGTTCAAACCTGCGATGCGTCGGGACGTGTTTTTACTCAAAACTCATCGAATTCTGCTATTTACAACTTGCACCCGTAAATTCATAAGGATTGTGAGGCATATATAAAAAGCCGCACGTACATACATCCCCAAACAGCCCATTTCCCATTCCAAGTAAAAACTCGTTACCATGCCATCCAAAATAGACAAAGGCAAATCGCCGGCCGCCGCCGGCGAATCCCTCTCCATCAACCCCACCATATGGAAAGAACTCGCCGTCAATTCTCCCGCCCTCCCCCGCACCGGCTCCTCCGTCTACTACTTCTGCAACGGCCACGCCGAACAATGCCCCTCCTTTCCCCAAGACCTCTACACCGCCTTCACCTTCCCTTGCCATCTCGCCGCCGTCAATCTCCACGCCGATCCCACCACCGAGCAAGCCTTCGCCCCCCCCCCGCCCGCCGCCGCCGCCGCTGAACTTTCATCTCCGGCGATGGATGCAACACCCATCGCCGGAGGCGTGATTTCGGTCGCAATAACGCTGACGAAGAGCGAAACGAATTACAAGAGCAAGAGCTTCTTGAGTCTGCCAGAAAGTGCGGGGCGTGTGTTTCATCCGTTGGGGACGGGGGAGGAAGTGGACGTGTTTGATTTGAATAACCGACGGTGGAGATTTCAGCATTTTTACGGGGGGAATCCGGCTAAGCATATGTTGACGGAAGGGTGGAGTTATTTTGCGTTGAGCAAGATGCTGGTTGCCGGAGATGTGGTGGTGTTCATGCGGGATGAGGACGGAGTGATTTTGGTCGGCTGCCGGCGGTGCGGGGACGATGAAGGTGGTGAGGCTCCGGCGATTAAGGGATCGTCGAACAGGTGGTTTTCTCTTCTTTTTTGGGTTATTTTATTTTATTTTATTTTGATTTTATGAAATGGAACGGATTTATAGGAGTGGAGTTTTAGAAAAGGCAAGATTTTGTTAGGGATATGCCGATAAAAAATGATTAGATTTATTTTCAAGTGAGATAAATATTAAAAATTATTCATTTTATTTCAATTATTTCAAATTTTTTATTTATTATATTTTATGCTTTCTTAATTTTTTAAGCATTTTCTATGTATAAAATATTATCATACAAGCTTGAATCTTCATGCATAAAATGTCGCTTTAACTAGGGGTATAAAAAGCCGAGCACGAGCTAGCTTAGGGTGAGCTCGTGTTCGGCTAGTTTATATTTCGAGCTCAAAAAGTGTGTTCGTGTTCGGCTAGTTTGCTTGGCGAGCCGAACACGAGGTGTTCATGAACCAAGAGTTGTTTTGACAACCCTAATCATGTAGCCATAAGTTGTTAAGGTTTGGGGCAAGATTTAAAAATTATTATTTGTATTAACACATCATTTGAATCTAATTTAATAATTTTCATTCTATTTTTTTAATTAATACTTTTAATTGATAATAATTCTTTGTAACCTTGTAGTCAATTAATTTTATAAGAAATTGTTCTGAATCAAACTATAAATCTGCAGGAGTTGTAGGTTTGATGCGGAGGCACGAAAAAAGAGAGAGGATTTAGAGATGGTACTTAGAGCATTGCGGTGGGCGGAGGAAGACGGCGAAGGGGTAGTGGAAGGCAAATATTATCCTGACACGAAGCTTCCGGTTTATGTGGTGGAGAAGGAGGTGGTGGATGAGGCGCTAAAGGTTAAGTGGGCGTCAGGAATGTGTGTAGGCAAGAGGTGGGAGAGGGCTAATGGCCTCATGTTTTGGCTCTATGGTACCATCAGCTCTCTCTCTCTGGAATCTGCTGATACACCATGGCGTATGCTTGAGGTATCGCAATCTATTTGAAAAATTATTGCATCATGACACTTGAATTTGCAACAGGCGCCCAATAACAGACAAACACATGGCAATTTAGGCCCACTGACACGCCTACTGACACCCCTGTCATTGGACAGCTGAAGCAAACTTGCGTCAGGTGTCCTGATACAATAATTTTTCCAATCTCTCTCTCTCTCTCTCTCTCTCTCTCTCTCTCTCTCTCTCTCTCTCTCTCTAGTATTTATTTATTTATTTAACATTCTAATATCATAAAATTATGCATAGAAAAGAGTTATTAAAGATTGATGATATTTGTGTTTTGGATATGATATTAAGGATTTTGGTGTTATTATGTATATAAATATAGGAGTTTAAGTGTAATATATGTAAATAAGTATGATTTATTTGGTATTTTTGTAAATGAGCCAACTATTTATATAAGATTTTAAAAAATGAATGTCTGTATATGAAACGGACTATTCTTCTTCTTAGAAAGGAAAAGTATATGATTTATGTCGGAATTTAAAATAAAATGTTCAACTTCATCACTAATGCTTTCACCATCCTCAAATCATTATGATAGTGAAAAAGAATATGGTGTAGGCTAAGATTTAAATATTTTATATTAATAAGGGTGCGTTTGAGGCAAATTGTGCTTATCCAGATAAACATTTTATTCTGAAACGCGGCATGTAGGGTTCGACTAGCGACCTGCGTTTAGTGTAAAAATCGAACCTCGTTTTTGGATAAGCTGCAGAAACGTGTTTTTTAAACGTTGAAATGACGTTTTAAAAATGCCGCCCGCACTTTTAAGCTGCCCCAAACGGGCCCTAAGTTAACAATGAGCACTTTAAATTATGGGGAGATTTACGTACATACCACTTAACTACTTTGTATTTACATATCTATTATTTAAAGTTTAATTTTGACATATATGTCATCTTATCTTTGCATGAAAGAATGCATATTTTAATATTTAAAAATAAAATAATGATATTTTTTGTGATATGAAATATTTGGTTAGTACAAATATAAAAATTAAAAGTTAATTTGTTAGATATATAAATACATAAGTAGTGAGTGGCATGCATGCAACTTCTCTTAATTATCATCTAAATACTCATGAAGTGATTAATAAAAGTATAACTTTCATTGGCTTGATTCGTTGAGTTATTTGATGAATTAATTCTAAATGCAGAGAGACTTGAGGTATGTTTGGGGCAGCTGCAGTTTATTGAATAATCTGCTTATATGCTGATTAAAAATAATCTGTTGATAAGCTAGATGCACTGATTATTACAAATTATCAGTTTTTTAGAAAAGTCAATACGCTGCTAGAAAGTTATCACCGCACCTAGATATGTGCGGTGTGAAAGTGTAGTTTTCACCGTTTTGAAAACGCATAAGCTGTCAAAACTCAGTTTACTCAAATATGTCATATGAGTTTTCAAAACGCCACCACACCAAATAAACTGCCTCAAACGGAACTAAAACCGATCTGTCTCAACATTTTGGATATTGACGCCGATAAATTAAAAGTTTGCTCTTTAATAACTTTCAGGTTATTTGGGATGAAACAGATAAGAAGACTCGCGAGAATCCATGGGATGTTAAGCCTATCTTTTCGGTCATTACTCAAAAGCGGGACGAAAAGGTCCAAATTGAAGCTTCGGCTGACAGTTAAGTAATTAATGCTTACAGAGCCTTAATTATTATTCACCATAATTTAATCTTTCATTATGATATTTTCTTTAGTTAATTATTTAATGAGACGGTTTTAATTATTATTTGTTTATTTATAATATTTATCCTTATAAAAAGAATATACAATAGTGAAATATAGGTTTATTTTTTTAATATTATGTTGCTGGTATGTTATTTTAATTAAAGTAAGGGACATTGACATGCCTAGTACACAATTGTTATGTATTTATATTTCTCAGGCCTAATCTTTCGTATTTACACACATAACAGTCAAATCTTTAATATAACATTATTGTCATTTCTTAAGAGTGAAAACATGCTTTGAGGCACAAGTTTAAAACACCATGATGCTATGTGCATAAATATGAAAGTAGTGTCAACTATTTAATGAGCAAAAGGAGGAGGATATTTAGATACCCAAATATGACCATAAAATCAAGCTAGGTTGTTACATGCGTATTCTCAAATCGAGCTCACATGCTAAAGTGGTTGAATAAAGCCCACCTGCTGAAGTAGTTGAGCCAAGTCTACCTGCCAAAATGATTGAGCTAGCCAAGGGCAAACTCGATATGTTAGAAGACCATCATTACTTTAGAGTACATATGTCCATCCTTATTTACGACACTGTCTGAAACTTGTGTCGCTATCTTTTAATAAAGACACCATGGACATATGTAGTACTAGTGTTCTGCGAGATGTAATTTTATATATTTTTTTTAATTTTTCATTTTGTAGGAGAAGGGTGCACTATTAGAAGAGGATAAAAAAGTGAGAGTTCTCTAGGAGAAGAAAGGAAAAGACCCTCCAAAAACAATTCCTTCCTTAACAGATTTAGTAAGAAGGTGAGGAGCTTGAGATCTAGCAACACATTGATCATCTTGTTTCAAACCTTCCCGCTCAGACAAGATCTTTCCCTTCCCTAGGCATATGAACTCATGGATAATGTAGGACTCTACGTCCTAAAAAAGATTCAACATAAAAGTTCATGCTCCAATCCTACAAAAAAGATCTTAGAATAAGAAAGAATGACGACATAGGATAGATTGCAACAGATATTTCCATTCCAACAAATGAATGAGCAGAGGGAATAAATGTTGAAGGCCACACTAGAAATAAGAGAATAAAACTCTAGATCTCATTCCACGACACATCCTAGAACATTATTTGGCTCTGTGGCTCACGATGGAGACTTGCCAAGTGCACGACCTAGAAGGGATCTTGGTCTAAAGCTAAAGCAAGAGGAGAAAGAGGGGGATGAATCTTACATCTTGGAGAGAGAATCTTCTGAAGCCTTAGATGGAGTGATAATAAGAAGAAAAGTGCAAAGACTATTAGAGAACATATTTTGAAGAGAGATTGCAAAAGCTGAAGCATTGAGGAAGTTCAAGATTTCCACTTTAAAATCTTATAAAAGAAAGTCAGATCCTGTTGATCATGTAGCCTCTTTTGAGTTAGGTGTATGTTTATTAAGGATAAAGGATGCTCTAAAATATCATTTATTCTTTATGACGTTGAAAGAATCAACTTTACATTAGTTAAAAAACTTATATGCAAGAGTTATCACTTAATTCAAAGAGTTCAAGTGGAAGTTTGTAGCATAGTTTTGTAGTGCACAAAAGCCACCGAAAAACTATCATGCTCTTTTGAAATCCATCAGTAGCCCTCAGAGAACCTTAATAGCTTCATCACTCATTTCAAATGGGAGATTTTGAATGTGTGTAAACTTCAACCTTCTATCATTCATGTAGCCCTAAACTCTAAGCCTGCATTAAGTTCCATTCAGACATGCACTTGGCCTGTATGTCGTTGTCATAATTTTGTTTTAAACAACTTCACTAAATAGGGACAAAATGATTATTTTTCCAGAAACAACTGCCTCACAACTGTTTTCACTCAGTTGCAACAAATAAACAACCAGCTTCCCGCATTAACTTCTTGGGGCAGCGCAGCTGCAGCTGGGCCAAATAGAGCCTAAGTCCCTAATAGAGATAGTTTAAGGTCTCTCTATTTTTTTGACGTAGCGAGCAACCCTTTTGTTGTTTGATGCAACATTTAGAATGGCTACTTCGTGTTTCTGGGAGAAGATCCAAATAATGTCAGAGTTTCTCATCATTCACATAAGGATTGAAATATTGAATATGTAGAGTCAAGATTTTAATATCAGCTGAGATAACTGCTTCCATTCTAAAACACATATTGTACGACATTTCTCTAGTTGGAGCATGTGAAGTTGTGTGATATGCCAAGAGAATATTAGGGAGCTTTTTCAACCTATTTCCCCAACTTTCTCGAGGTGAGCAATTAGCCCCTTAAGAATGGTACAATTAGTGACTTCAATTTTCCTGTTCATTTATGAATTGTCTATAACTATATGTAGCAATTGGATGTGAAGGTCATTACAAAAAAAGTTATAGAGCTTCTAGTGAATTGAGTCCTACTATCAATAATAATTTTACAAGAATACTGAAGCTATAAATGATGTTCTTCTAAACAAACTATTTGATATTTGCCTCTATAACTTTTTCTGGGGGTTTAACCTCCACCTACTTAGTGAATTAATTAATGACCAAAATCATGAATTTCATTATTTCACGACCATAGGAAAAAGTCTCATGATGTCTATCCATCACTGCCAAGCAACCAAAGACTCTAAAGAGACATAAGTTGTATCAGTGGTGTGTGCATGATTGAAACTAGGAACTTTGTATTTCTTAATGAAATTCAGTATATTTTGCTTCCTTTTTGGCCAATAATACCCCTATCTCATTATCATAAGAGTAAAAGATCTTCCTCCCAACTTATCATTGTATATCCCAACATGAACTTCTCATAATGTATTGTCAGCATCAATCAAAGAAAGCCATTTAAGGTATGCCCTAGTGAAAGCCCTATTATAAAGTTATACATTTATGATGGTGAAATCTATTGCATGCCTTCTGACTCTACATCTTCAAAATGTAAGTTGTTTTGAAGGAAAGAGATTATAGAATCCATCCACCAATGTTTATTCATCTACTTAGTTGATTGTAACTCCCATGGGTGAAGAATACTAGAAAAATATATATTTTCATTACATCTCTTTTTGCATGAATCACTAGTGGTTAAGGTGGCTAACTTGAAGAGGACATCATCCTGAGAATTTTGCTCCCAAAGTTACGAATTATCTGGTGCATCTGAGATAAACAAGGAGCTATTTTACTAAGATAAGACAAATAAGAATTGTGTATATTAAAATCTCCCTCCACATGAGAGGCTATTAGTTGGAAATCAAAATAAACTATTCGGCGATGAACATTACAATTAATGATAAGTCTTAATTTAATAATGAGGGTTTCATATTCAGCGATGTTATTTGTTACAAAAAAATTCAACTGAAGTTCATTCTCCAAAATATCTTATTTAGGAAATATCAAAAGAAATCCAACTCCAGCTCTAGAATTTTCAAAAGCTCCATCAACATATATTATCCATAATGAGTATTTTGAAAGGGGGATGATTGGCTTAATAAGGGTAGGCATTATACATTATAACATAAAGTTAGCGACCACTAGTAATTTGATATCAGGCTTTGACAAGAATCAGATATCAAACTCTCCTAATTCGATGGACCACTTCATCTGCCACCTTAATGTCTCCAATTTTTGTAATATAACTCTCAAGGGGAGGTAAATGTCGACACTAATAGTATGGGTTTGAAAATACAAACATAATTTTTTAGTCGAGAATATTAATGCTAGGGTCGTTTTAACCTTCAGTGGATAAAAAAATTTTAGTTGAGAAATAATTTTGCTAATGTAGTCAATTGGCTGTCAAATTTATGCTCTTACCTAATTATGACTGAACGTATTTCATACAAATAGTTTGCATGAAAGAGATATAATGTCTCATCTTGAATTTGTTTGATAACAGAGGTAGTGAAGCTAAGTATATTATGAGCCGATAAAAAATAATTGACATTCATCTATCCATTGAAATCCAGTATTTCAAACTCCCCTTAATATCTTGAAGAACGAGAGATATCTTTTTCATGATCTTGCCAAAGAGCACAATAGAACAACTATCCTTCCATTTAATCTTTGCACCTCTTTTATGCTATTAGAAGAAATCATATCTTTTATGGCATTAATTTTTTTTATGAGTAGTCTTGATTTTTTGGTGAGTGACCATGAATTCAAAATATTTTGTTGATGCCACTCCGAAGGCAGACATGCCAGGTTTGAGGCGTATGTTATACTTTTGAGGAAAATGAATATATTTTTCCAAGTTGAGAATATGTTAAAAAGTTTTTAGACTCTTGACCAACATTTCATCAATATATACCTTCATGTTATACCTAATAAGGTCCTTAAAAATCTTTTTCATAAGACTCTGATAGATTGCGCCAACATTCATTAGGCCGAAGAGCATCACCCTGTATTAGTACATGCCTTTATTTGTCTGGAAGGAAGTAGTTTCCTCATGAATAAGATTCATCTTTATTTAGTTGTAACTCGAATAAGCATCCATTTAGCTAAGCATTTGATATCTAGAGGCAAGTTTAACTAATTGATCTATTTGAGGTAGAAGAAAACTATCTTTTAGATAAGCTTTGCTCAAATTAGTATAGCCGACACACATCTTCTATGCTCTAAAATCCTTCTTCATCATAACAACAATTGCAAGACAAACCCGATCTTGTACCTTCTATATTAAATTTGCTTGGAGAAGCTTGTCAACCCTTGTTCGCTTGCTTGCTGGTACTTTAGCATAAAAATTTGCTTCTTTTGGATGATCAGTTTATGTTTGGGGAAAATACTTAGAGTGCACAATTACTTAAAAATAAATTCTGGACATATCTAACTGACTCCAGGCAAACAAATCTTCATTTATATAGAAGAAAACTAAGTACTTTAGGTTTTGCACAATGGAAAACAAAGATCTAAGCTGCACAGTTCGTGAGGGGTATTCATCTGACAAGGATGCATAGATTAAGTTTTTAACTGTGAAGCTCGTTGTGATGTATTTTCATCTCAGAGATCAAATCTCTTAAAATTGAGTCTTCAATGAGCACGACATGCTTACGTGAGGTAGCACGATCATGTTAGTTTTTTACTCTCTCATAAAATACCAACTCTGGATGATGTTGGGAACTTAATTATGAGGTACGGTATAAAAACCACAATCCTAAATATTGATTAGAGATGTCTTTTAAAGATGGCATTATATGTTGATTCCAACTTGACGATGAAGAGTTTGATCATGTGAGTTGTATGTTGGAAGAATTCTCCCAATGTAAGGGAGAGGGTAATTATTCTCTTTGCATCCACCGATTTATAATGAAAGTCGTAGAGAGGTCCATTGGCAAGATGTAGTTTTTTTTCCCTGGTCAACCCTGGTTGAGAAGAATAAGACATCAATTGAAATCTCTACATCAACGAAAATTCTCTTTAAATTATAGCTAGGATCACTGATTCTAGCGCTTACAATAGGGCAATCTTGATAAGGGACTTGGAGCCCTTCAAGGCCAAATTCAACAAATATGATGAAGTGACTAGCACAATATTTCTTCAGTGAAGGCTCCTCATTGGAAGTCACCAGAATTTGCTAGACTAATAGTGGTCCTCTAATGATATTTGCAAGCTTGCCAATAAACTAACAATTCTCATGTTGTTCCTTCTAAGAATGTGAAACTTGTGTATTGCGTTTATTGGCCATTGGAGAAGTGTAAAATCTTATTGCCACAGTTTTGTTTATTATAAACGACTCTAAAACATTGCGTGTTTAAAGATTCACGACGATAGAGTGATAATTTAACTTCTCAGCATTGTACCAAATTCCATCACACCATAGATAATTGAAAAGTAATATGAGAAGACTATAAGATTTTTTATTTGGAACACTAAAAATTGAAAAAAAATCAGGGGGTTGAGCCCAGACAAAGTATTCCACTATGAATGTGTAATTGCAAAGATGCACCATTATCCTGCAATTCGGAAGGAAAGACTACAATGCTACACAAAGTATAATACTAGTATGTGTACAATATATAAAATAATTCAGAAGTCTGGTGAAAATTTTTGTATTCTGAGTATGATGGATGAAAGTATTATTCGCTGGAAGTTATCGCTGGATCTTCTATATGATGTTACTCACTACTCCATATGCAAGATACTTTGTAACACTGTATTTAGAATACTTCATTGAATCGTATTTAAGGATATGATTTAATACAATAGAGTTTGCCAACATTGGTGAGCAGGGGTGGCACGGTGGTTGACTGCGATCGACAGGCGGTGGTTGACGACGGTCAACGACTACGGGGGTCAGAAGTTATTGTTGTGTCTATTGTCATAAACAACACTAAAAATTGACTCATTTTCTTCCCCTAAAGTCAAGAGACGGGGTCTATTTGGAGGCTCTAAGAGAGGTATTTTGGTCATTCTGCAAATAACTCCTATGACCACCCATCAAATGACCCATGTTAATTCCAGTTGATCATAGGGTTTTTTATTTTTATTTTATAATTTGAGGCCTTATTAATCTTATAATTGAATGATTTTGGACTCGTTGGACTCCTCTTGTTGAGATGCTCAATTTGATTATATATATATCAAATTTAGAGTTCATTAATCTAAAGCCTCCAAATATGACTCAAATGGCCTAATCAGATTTGGATTTGATCAATTTTGATATCATTCCTCTAAGCAAAAATGTCAATTTGACTAAAAGTTTGCTCAAATTAGAGCTTTGAATGATTTTTAATTTGAATCACAATACTTTTTATTAGAAAATTATTTCGAGAATCTTATCAAATAAAAAAATGTCAGTTTCATGCTTAATGGCACATCAATTATCACTTAATTGAAAACAAATATTGAGAAGTTTAGGATATATATACATGTAACCCTAACACTCCATTTCCTATTCGAAGTAAGAACTTGTTGCCCTGCCATCCAAACAGATAAAGGTGAAGAAGCGCCGTCCACCGCCAGCGAGTCTCACGCCATCGACTTCATCATATGGAAAGAACTCGCCGCCCGATCCATCGAACTCCCTCGCGCCGGCTCCTGCGTCTACTACTTCTGCGACGGTCACGCCGAACAATGCTCTGCTTTTCCCCCAGGCCTCTACACCGCCTTCACCTTCCCCTGCTATCTCGCCGCCATCGACTTCGACGCCGATCCCACCACCGAGCAAGTCTACGCCACATTCACTCTCACCACCGCCGACTTCTCATCCACGCCCTTGGATACATCCATCTCCGGCGGCGGCCTCATTTCCGTTGCAACAACACTGACGAAGGGCGAAACTAACTACCAGAGAGAAAGCTTCTTAAGCCTCCCGGAAAGTGCCGGCCGGATATTCGGTGAGCCGGAGGCGGGGCAGGAGGTGGACGTGTTTGATTTGAATGACGGGCGGTGGAGGTTTCGCCATGTTTTCGAGGGAAATCCGCAGCGGCATTTGTTGACGGATGGGTGGAGTTATTTTGCGTCGAGCAAGATGCTTGTCGCCGGCGATGAGGTGGTATTTATAGGGGATGATGAAGGAATAATTATCGTCGGTTGCCGGCGTTGTGGCGACGATGGAGACGGTGGGGATGATGAAGACGGCTTGATTGAGGGATCGTACAGGTATTTTTCTCTTCTTTTTGTTTTGTTTTGTTTATTTATTTATTTTTTTTCTGAAATGGTTTGGTTTTATGAAAAAAAATTATTGGATACGGACAATGTATGCAAATATGTATTTCGGTGGGCCTCACTTTTAACTTTTTTTATTTTTTACTTTTTAATTGCAGTGATTGACGGTATTCGGTGTCCGTACGAATAATTTCTCAGTTTTATAATATTAAAGTTTAAAAAAGAGGTAAAACTTTGTAGAGGATAAGACGATAAAAAATATTCAAATGCAATTCAAAATTCTTAGATTTGTTTTAAAGTAAGATAAATATCAATGATTTATATTATTATATTTGTTTGGAAATAAATCGCTGTTTTTATATTAAAATCTAAGTATATTCAATGAAATAAGTATCCTTGAATTTGGATGATTTTATCCCAAGAGTAATTACGATATTTTAAATTAGGAAGTCATAGTATTGTTTTCCTTAGAATAGAAAAATACATTAATAAAATTTAGAAAACTTATATGGTAGGTTCAATCTAGGTTGTTTGTTTAATACTAATAATAATAAATCTAGATTAGACAAACATAATAACACACATAGATTAAGATTGTTTGTCTAATCTAATTAAAAAACTTATATTAGAGTCGCGCTCAACAATATGTAAAAAAGAAGAATATAAGTTGATAGCCCAAAAAGAACACACACAAACAAGACTTACAACAATAAGACAACGAAAAATCAAAACCCTCAAACATCAAAAAAGAAAGGAAACAAACCCAGATGAATCAGCCAAAAAATTTCCCACAAACAAAAATAAGCCTAGTAACATTGCTCCACGAAGAAGTAAAACTAGTATGAAGGACACCATCCAACAACAGAAGGATCATGACAATAGAGGAAGAATTGAATCTGGCAATCTTTGAAGAGGAGGAACAATAAGCGACAATAGTCTTAGATCAGCAGAAGAAGGAAGTTCCAACCTAACAGCAGAAAAGAAACAAAAACCACAACAAAGAAACCATAACAAAGAACATCCCAGAAAACACTGAATCAAATAAACAAAAAGACATAAATAGATGAAAGCAAACAATAATCAGACTAAGCAAGCAAAAAATAATATAACTACAAAAAATAAACAAAAAACACCACTAACCCACAAAGCTTAGAACTTAAAGAAAAAAGATATTAAAATTCCCTCCAACTATGATAAATATCTTATACAAATAAAATATTCAAACATAAGGACGAATTTTGATAAATGGTTGAATAACACCATAGCTCAACCAAAAAAAGGCCAAGAAGAACAAGAAGCAAGTGTAATTTTGATCGTTTCAAAAGAATAGTAAAAAAATAGCAAACCACAGAAGAAAAAGGAGCTTCCCACCAAGAAGAAATCCTAAAAAGAAAAGCTAAACGACCAACACTACTTCAAAAAGAAGTAAAAACCAAACTGAAAGACAATAAGCAACAACAGAAAAGAAACACAACAACTTAGACTGTCAACGAAAACTAAAAGATATCAACAAACAATAAAAGGAACACAACTATGGAGTAAACAGAAAATGACAATCACCAAAGAGAAAGAACAAATAAGAAACAACAACCCTAGATCAACAAGAGAAGAAAGTTCCAACCCAATTGCATAAAAGAAACAAAAATCACAACAAAAAATATCCTGAGGACAATGAACCAAATAAACTAAAAAATAGAATTAAATAAAATACAAACAACCAAACAGTCTGAGCAAGCAAAAAGCAATACAACAATAGAAATAAACAAAAAACACAAACTCACAGAGCTCAAAACTTACCTGAAGGAAACACTATTAAAATTGATTCCAAATATGATAAATATCATATATATATATATATATATAT